CTACCTTAACCAACCATAGCCCACTTTTTCTTAGGTTCTTATTATAAACCCTAATATGGGATTTATAGGGACCCTACAAAAAAGTAGGTTCTGGTAGGTTAAGGTAGACTCAGAGCCACACCTGCAGCTCCTAAACCATCCTAAACCCTGAAACCCTAAACCCACTCAGCGGAGTGCTGATGAAGACTGCCTTTAGACACGGGGTTTAGGGTTTAGGGTTTAGGGTTAAGGGTTTAGGGTTTATGGTTTGGGTATGCTGCGAAGCCGGTCTTCACCGGCTGTTTCTTGAAGTTGGCGGAGCTGAGAACAAGGATCCTGCCATCCACACTCCCAAATCGTCTTCAGAGGCCCGGGGGGCCCCCGAAACCCTAAACCCTAAACCCTAAACCCTAAACCCTAAACCCTTAACCCTAATTCCAACCCCCAAACCTTGACATCGAACGGTTGAAGCCCCAGTTGATTTGCATCCATAGCTGTAAGGAAGTAAGTCCTCACCCTCTTGCAGAGCGAAAGCCCTAAACCCGTTCCGGGCTCAGACACAGAATCTGGTGTAAACCCCGCGCAGCTTGAAACTAAAAGTTGCTGCTGCCCTCACCCTGAACCCTAAACCCTAAACCCTAAACCCCACAGCTTCAAAAACACCCGCGGCGTCCTCTACATCCCAAGCTGAGAGATCTTCCTCAACTCGAAGCCGATCTCGTTACGCACAAAAAAACTAGGCCTTAATAATTACCTGTACTATTTTGGGGGTTCCTTACTGTAATTATAGTAGATGGGGCCCCAAAACCCTATTGTAATTGTTCAGGCCCCTACATTAAGCAATATTCCCAAAACCTTGTTCTAATTATTCTGGCCCCTGCATTAAACAGTTTTCAATGACCCTAAACCCTAAACCCTAAACCCCCTAAACCTAAACCTAAACCCCCTAATTGAAAACGGATGGGTCAGTAAATGATCTCCGTTTTAGTCGAACCCGGGCATGATCGGGAAAGTCGTCGCTCCCGGATGCGCGGACCCCTGCTGGGCGTTCTTGAAACAGATATAGGGGTTTAGGGTTTAGGGTTTCGGGTTTGGGGATCTAGAACCTAGGTGTCTTGATAACCCTTCTCTTCGAAGCTTTTTGAAAGCATGCTATGTTTTGCCGGTGTTTTGGTGGTCCGCATATTAAGTCAATCTTTATAACCCCGGCCGCAGAGTAGAGACCTCTCTTGCACCAGATGATGCAGGGCGCAAGTAGTGTAAGAAGAACCAAAAACCGTTTTTATTCAAGGTTTGAAATTATTGTTCTGAATGCTTCGAAATATTCATCAAGTTTGTCTATGTCTTGTACGTGCCTATGTCGAGTTCAAATCAAGTTTGGGGTTTGTGGCATCAAGGGCATAGCCGGTGTGACGGAAATAATTCGTGCACGTAGTATTTTGTGGAAAGGATAACATAGGAAGGCTCTTGCAAACGATTTGCTGACATCCTGGCCTGGGCTGTAGTAGGCTTGATTCGTTATCCCCCCAAAACAGAACGAATGATATGGAAAACTTTTTGATACTGAACGACCTGCCGACCTAAACACACGTCGCAACTTGAACCATGCCCACAACAGCAACGACATGCCGAAATTGTTCTGCACCGCGATCAGATGTGCAGACCAAAACCCTAAACGCAAAAACGACCCTTCAACTCCAAACCGTCTACTTGAAAACCAAGAAACATTTCCCAGCTCACGCACCCAAACTTTATGCCACTGACTATCATCCTTGGTTCTTGGTTCTCGCCTCTGTGAAGGACCCCTTGTCGACAGTCAAGAAGCCCAGACCTGTGAATCGGACATTTTGGAATTTGGGACTTGCGGGGCTGAAAGTGACTAAAGAGTTTGGTGCTGAATGTTTTGAACCCCTTAATTATACTGTTAATTTGGGGCTCTCCTTGGCAAAAGCATGGCACTGAAAGCTGAACGGTTGAGTTCAAAGGGCCGTGGCGGCTCCATGGTCGGGTGGAGAATCGGAGGTTTGTTCGCTAGCAAGGACCCCTTCGCGTATCCAATTTTTCATGAGCACACACATAGTTCAATACTATTTATCACAAGTCTCATTCCGGCGTGCCGCAAAGTTTCAAGCCTTTACATAATTTATGGTCGTTGAGTCGTTGACCCGACGAAAATTCCTTGGAGTCTTATTGCATCAAATTTGAACCTGAGGCCGAAGCTGATCCACAGCTTCGTGAATTCGGCAAGGAGAACGACGCTGGGCAAAGAATAAGCATACGAGCCTGACAGCGGATCATGGATCAGATTGAAGGTCTAGTGGCCAGGGGCTTAGGTTTCGCAAAGCGGCACCTTCAGAGTTCCAGACATCACAAGCGGTTCCCGAAATCGCCATCAGTTGCAACTCATCTGCAACGCAGCTTCTGTTCACTACATGGTGCTCTCAACTTGGCCCACGGTGTGCAACATGCCGATTAACAGCCATCCGATTGAGCTGTGTCGGTAAAGCAACGAATATTCATCTTGTGTTTTCTTCTTTACCGCCAGCTGTCAGGGAGTAGGGGGCATTGTGTTTGTACTGCTAGCGAGGTCGCATCTTATGAAAGCCGTGTCTGAAACTGCGATTGGCGCACACTCGGGATGGCACTGAAGCTCTCCAGGTTTCCAGACCTTCGCGACCCGCATTGAAAAATTGGGCAACAATCCATTCCGTGTTTCTGATGTCCAACAGGGCATGGAACACGACAACAACTATTTGGTGAATCCCCCGTCTTTACCTGCACAAACCGGTATCCAAGAGTTCCTGCCGTATTTTTGATTTGATAGAGGAATCAGATCTGCGTGCAAGAGTGCCTGGGTATACGGGCGTAGTCATTTTGCGTTTTCGATATGCTTGAGCGGGTTTCTTGCGATCGCGGTGCATTGGTGTTTGCATGCTGTGAAGAAACAAACAAAGAATACCACCATAACGACAAACGTAAAACATCTTCAGCAACAACAGACTTGCTGACAAGCCGTTCTGAAAACCCAACAAAGAGAAAACACGAGGATAACCATGGATCAGCAAGCCTCCTGACCATCGTCAATGGTTGGTGGTTGAAAACCACAAGAAAGCTTCATGAGAAGTCTCTAATCCTATAACCTAGCGGCTAATTGGCTCAGGGCTTCGGGTTAAGCTTGATTATGGAAAAGTATTCCTGGCCATCGTCAATGGTTGATGGTTGAAAACCACAAGAAAGCTTCATCAGAAGTTTCTAATCCTATAACCTAGCGGCTAGTTGGCTGAGGGCTTCGGGGTTAAGCTTGATTATGGAAAAGTATAGAGGGATATATCAACGACAAGTCTGTGAAATCGAAGCCGAAGTTTGGAACATCAGTACCCTTATGCCTTATGCCTTGATTTCGTGTATACAGGTTGTCAGCATGTGTATCCCAGTTTCCACTGTGTCCGGTGGGGCTTTGAAGTTATGAATTATATGGGCTTACGAGCCATGTTCTATCGCGGTGTCTGCGATGCCACCTGCGCATAACATATAACCTCCCGACGTACACAGTATAACGACATACATAACTTATGAGGTGTTCCGCATCTTCTCAGGGGAATTGAACAGCATCCGGCGCGTTGTTATGTGCTAGAAACTTGGGGGTTTCCGAAAATAGGAGACCACGGTTTAGGGTTTAGGGTTTAGGGTTTAGGGTTTAGGGACCCTAATATAGTAATTACCCTAAATAGTAGGACCCTTATTATAAAGACCCAAAATAAGGTGCCCCCTATTTTCGGAAACTCCCACTTCTCTACTTCGCATGGCCCCGCAGGACCCGAAATGCCGAGGTCCATGGTACAATGTAGGGCTTTCTTAGCAGGAGCCACGTATTCTGTCAAGCCTTCGCCACAAGCCGTAAATGCCATGCATTAACTTCCTGAAGACCTGAACTCCAAAAACCTCAAACCTAAATAGGGATTAGGGTTTACAACCCAAAACCCCAAGCCCAAAACTCCCGAGACCCAAAAACATATGAGTTAAAATCCACGCCATGTAAGCTTAGTCTGAAGGATTGGGCTCTTGGCAGCTACGACTGACAATTTCGGCCTTCTCTACTACTGTGCTCCCGGAGGATGTATGCACCAACTAGTGAAGATAGAGTTTCGGGATCAGGGCTCCGGCCGAGTTTTCAGTTTAGGCCTTCTGGTTTTGGCTAGGGTCTAGGGTTTAGGGTTTAGGGTTTAGGGTCTGGGGCTTGGCTTACGGGTGCGAGGTTTTGGGGTTCGATCGGACAGCTGTCAGGCACTGTCAAGCCATCAGGACTTCTGCCTGCTCAAAGACCCTAGACCCTAAACCCTAAACCCTAAACCCTAAACCGGGACAGGCTGCGACCTGGGGGCTGCAAACGCGGGTTTGGGGTTTAGGGTTTAGGGTTTAGGATGTACAGGGTTAAGGTGCCGTTGCTGGGGTCCTTAGCACCCTGTGGCTCTGCGCTTCTTCACTCACCTCTAGACCCCAACATCATGCCCCAAAAACCTCGACCTAAAACCCTAAACTTCCACACGACGGGTTCAAAAGCCTAAAGCCCTCAACCCTTACAGCGTTTCGCACTAAAGTTCTGAAAATTCTAGGCCCTGAAACCCGAGACCTTGAAAACCTTCCTATAGTCTCCATTGTAGTTCCATTTTGGGGTTACCTTTCAGGATCCTTCATATAAATTTGGTTAAACCAAAAACGGAACTAATTACATGGGAGACTATAGATACAATTAAAGCCAAAAGTCCCCGATCCGAACCCAAAGCCTCTAAACCCTAAAACCTACCTTAACCCCAAATAACCTTCCGTTTTAAGTACCTATATAAAGAAATCATAATAAGGAACCCTGAAAAAGGTAGGTTAGTGGGGGTTGAGGTAAACTCTAACTAAAAACCTAATACCCAAAAGCCCCTGTAGCTAAACCCTAAACCCTAAACCCTAAACCCTGAACCCGTAACCTCAGATTATGACACCCAGAAGCCTAATGCACAGAACTCAAAGTCTCCTCCACTTGCCTTGCAAAGGTGTGCGGTTTGGGGTTTATTGTTAGGGTTTGGGGTTAAGGGTCAGATTAGGGTTTGAGTAGGGTTTGAGGTTCAGGGTTAGTTTAGGGTTTGGGGTTAAGCTAAGGGTTTAAGACTCTTAGTGACTAGTCTTGCGTAACTGATTAGTGAAAAAGTCTTATAGGACTGGGGATTCCGTCATAGTACTTCCTAACGTAGAAACCCTAGATTCTATATAGAAGTACTTCGGATTTGTTGGGAGGGCTAGTTGACTTACATGGTTTGGGGTTGAATAGTATTTTCGGTAATTTGATGGGTTTATAGTGCTTAGGGTTGAAGATGTCCGGGAAAGTTAGGGTTTAGGGCTCAGGGCTCAGGGTTTAGGGCTCAGGCTTTAGAGCCCTAAACCCTAAACCCTAAACCCCTAACCACTAAACCCCCTAAACCCTAAACCCTAAACCCTAAACCCCTAAACCCTAAACCCTAAACCCCAAACCCCTAACCACTAAACCCCCTAAACCCTAAACCCTAAACCCCTAAACCCTAAACCCCTAAACCCTAAACCCTAAACGGGTTCAAGCCTTAGGGCTCCAGCCCTCAACTTTGAAACATGATAGATTCAAAGCGTGACGGCACCCAAGGGATGCCAGATGGGTAGTTCTCTAAGTTTGGGTTTAGGGTTTAGGGTTTAGGGTTTAGGGTTTAGGGTTTAGGGGCCTCCAATATAGTACGGCACCCTTAGGAAAAGGACCCCAAAAGAGACCCCAATTCAAAGAACTACCCAGATGCTGGTCGGCGCACCGTCGTCGGACTTCGACAGCTGGGATAGAATCCTGCTCTCTCATCCCGTGATCCCAGCGGACTATGCCCTATGTCTGGGTTGGTTTGTAAAAGTAGGACCCTGAAAAGTATGTATGAATAGGTGCCTCTATAGGATCCATAAGGCAAACGTTAAGGTTCCCTAACGTGCCATCTAGATAGATGTACTTGGTGGAAACCCTAACCCCTAAACCCTAAACCCTAAACCCTAAACCGGGTTACTATGCCGTATTTGTCTTGACACGGTGACACAGTACCCTACCACCTGGCTGCAGGGTTTCTGGGGCCAGGGCAGGATCCTATGTGTTTAGAGGCGGCTTAGGCTGATCGTGCGGGACTTATAAGGGTTTAGGGTTTAGGGTTTAGGGTTTAGGACTTATAACATAGGGGCCTTAATGATTAGACTACAGGTCGGGGGGTCTAGCACACCATAGTTGCAATTCACAAGGAACCCCCCAAATGAATCGCTAGTAGTCCTGGTTGCTAGCTCCCCTAGAGTCCCTGAACCCCCTTTCTTACACCCGCCAACACAGCGTGTCCCCGACAGGGGCCCTGAGAACCCAGGACCATGCATCCTGCTGCTCATCTTCATCTAAAGGCCAGATACGGCCTGCCTCTACCTGCACTGCAGGGTCATACCCTACCCCATGTTTGGAATTAGGGCTTAATTAGGGCTTTCTTACCGAAAAGATTCTAACCATCAAGTTTGATACCCGCTTAAAAGCGGTCGGGCATGACACTCTAAGTGAAACCCAACTCCAAGCCCAGAGCTCCACTAGCACCTCCCAAAAGAAGATCCAACAGACCTGAACCCTAAATCCCAAATCCACAGCCGAATTCGTGATGCAGAAAAAACACCCCAAAACCCTAAACCCTAAACCCTAACTCTATGAACTCCGCAGGCGAAGCCCGAACCACAAATCGGAAGCCCAATCTTGCATCTACGCCATGAAATACCAGCGACTGCGCCCACTTAGGGGGCTTAAGTCTGTAGGGTTACAACAGTAGGTTATGACCCCTTGATTAAGGGTCTCACCCCTTAAAAACGGTAGGTTTTTGGATACCCGGGATGTGCTTTACGGACCCTTCAACAGCACCCTGTCAGGTTTAAGTAGCCACCCGAAATCCGAAACTCAGAATGGAAGCCCCATAGAACCCCGTAGCGTTCCCTGACACGCCCCTAAACCCTTAACCCTGAACCCTAAACCCTAGACCCTAACCCTAACCCTAAACCCTGAACCCTAACTAAACCCTAAACCCCCTAAACCCTAAACCCCTAAACCCCTAAACCCTAAACCCCAAACCACTAAACCCCTAAACCCTAAACCCTAAACCCCAAACCACTAAACCCCTAAACCCTGAACCCCTCACCACTAAGCCCCCAAACCCGAAACCCCTAAACCCTGAAGTCGGTCCCTAGCAGCGCGTAGCAAATGGAGCCGAGGCAAAACAACACAGCAGCTCGTAGAGCTCTCCACCTCAACGACTGGGCTCTGGTTTGGCATGAGGGTTTAGGGTTTAAGGCTTCGGGGGCCTAAACAATTACCCCTAAACCCTAAATCCTAAACCACTACTATTTTGGGGGGGCCTCCTTACCATCACCAGAGTATGATATACCCCGAACCCTAATCCTAAGATTTCAGGCCCCGCTATTGCAGACTCTAGGTCGGCCTCTGGCTGTAAGGCACATGGGGCTTAGGGCTTGGGAGTCCGGATTTGGGGGCTAGGGCTTGGGGTTTGGTTTAGGGTTTAGGGTTTAGGGTTTAGGGTTTAGGGTTTAGGGTTTAGGGTTTAGGGTTTAGGGTTTAGGGTTTAGGGCTTTGAAGTTTTCCAATTCAAGGCTTGGGTTCTTGTTCAGGAACTTAAGCCGGGAAGGATTAGGGCCTTACAGGGTTTGTATAAGGTAAGATTTTCATCAATGCCCCTAGGTTCCTGATAAGAAACGTTATCTCAGCGCGACACACCAGGGCCTAAACACCAAATGCAAAACCATAAGGTCACCAGAGCCCAACACAACAACGCAGGACCCAATGTAGCGGCCTTAGCAATTAGAATAAGGTTATCGGGCCCATTATACTATAATCATAATAATGACCCCCCAAAAAAAACCAAAAAAAAGAAAAAAAGTGTAGTCAGTTATTAAGGCCCCTATACTAGCCAGGTCACAACAGCCCAACAAGACAGCCCAGGCTTCTTCACAGGGTTTAAGCAGTCTAGGTGTTCGAGGACCTGGTAGGCCATAGTCCGGAATTGCCGTGCATGAGTACAGAGATAATCGCCTTCTGGCAGATATGATAACAATGAGCGCCCTTTCTCGAGAAGGGCCGTGAGAAAGTCCTTCCATCGCACGTTGAATCCTACCAGCCAGGCGGAAAGCATCTCACACCCCTACCGACGTGATTGGCCGCGATGGCCAACGATCAGCATGCAAAGCCGGAGGTTCGCAGTCAGCTGCACTTCTGTGAAGTGGCGTCCTCCTGGCAACAACTTCAACAGCAAATGCGAAGCCTTCTTGCCCACTCCATTGAAAAGGTCACGAACATCGTCGTGCAACTTCTACTTTGTTGCAACATCGGAAAACATAACCGGATCAAGCCAAGCATAGCAATCCGGCATCGCAGCTATGGTCTGCATGAGGTCGTCATAGTGGTCCCACGCCTGGCAGCGTTCCTCCCAAGTAATGAGTCGGGCCATTGCTGCGAATGAATGCCCGCTCTGGGTGTGGAGGGGCTGGCTGGGGTCAGAGCTGTGTGGATTTAAGGCTTCAAGGTAAGGGTTTAGGGCTGTATAATCTAAACCCTAAACCCCTAAACCCTAAACCCTAAACCCTAAACCCTAAACCCCTAAACCCCTAAACCCCTAAACCCAAAGCTTAGGAGTCTAAGATGCCGGGTTCTCTCAGAGGTGTAGGGTGCGGGCTTTTGGGTTTAGTGGGTTTAGGGTTTAGGGTATAGTGTGCTTAGGGTTTAGGCAGGCTTTTGGGTGCAGTGCGTTTAGGGTTTAGGGTTTAGGATATCCCAAAATAGCTTGGGGCCATGGACCCGGAAAGTTACACTTTAGGATGCCAGAGCTGGAGGGGTACAAAAAAGGGTTCCTTACTACGTCGTTTTGGGGGGTTACCTTATAAGATCCGAAATTCACAACTGGTTAAGCCAAGAAACGGAACCAAACTACAACGGAGACTGCAGGTCAGGCAATTCGGTAAACCATAACCCCTAACCCTAAAATCCAAACCTCTAAAACCTAAAATCTAAACCCTGAAACCTAAACCTACACCCAATACCCATAGCCCCGAAGCCTATCTCTTGTCCTAGACCCCCGATCTGCCCTCTAATTATCCCCCAAATAAATATCCACTGTTGAGGGCCGTTATGGCTCTATTAAAGGGCCATTGGGGGGGGGGGG